AGATATAAGAGTATAATAGGCTATTCCAGTAATTTTCTTCTTAGGATTCTAACTATAGTAAACGTAAGCTTACATTTCCATTTCCAACGATTTGTGCCTTCATTTTGTGCGTTAACTGTGTACACACGCCTTCTCTGACCTACATGTCCAAATCACGAGGTACACTTACCAAGCAATCGATCACCGTTCGGCGACTATTTATGGACACTACTTTGCTTAATCTTGAGCTGCGTGTTAATTGAAATACTCTATATTGTTACATACAGCCTGAACTAAAGATACTCTGCCAAGAAACCTAAGATTTTATTATTTGAATTATGAAAATCTTGGAAAATCAGGAAAACTTGAAACTCAAACAGGTGTGTTTGAAATTTGAATACATGAAGACTGGCCAATGGTTTGGCTTGGGTTAGCCTTCTACTCAGTAAGGTTCATAATTCTACTCATAAGCTGTATATAATTTGTATTGTTAATTTGACCAAGAAACCTTTTTGAAAATGTTTATGCCATACAAAAAAGATCTCGTAACGGAGGAAAGGAAAAATATATAACACTTAGGTAGCTACACCTTTAACACACTTAAACAAAACGTGAGGTATAAATCCAATATACTGGTTAAAGTTGTAGCAATGGAATAAAAAAGAATCCCATTAAATTGAGCCAATGACATAATGGGCTGCTTGAAATACATTTATTTTCTTGTCCTTCAATTAATTTTAACTGAATCAAACTAAACTGGTTTTTATCATTGTAAACTATAGCTTCTGTCATGTATCCAACAACTTTTATAGTATGAAATACTAAGTGAGAAAAATATAGTTTGACAGAAGCACGATGTATGTGAGAGGCTTATTTGGCGTGTATTGTAGTATAACTAACAATTGCTGGTAAACGAATAATAAGAAACTAGTAATAAGTGTCAATATGAAGAGAATTGAAAACACATTATCAAAATGTACAGATTTAACTGTTTCTGCATTACAATACAATAATTGTCTATGGTCAACATCACCCTTTAAACGAAAAAAAAATGTTTTGTTGTGTAAAAGCATCTAAGGCTAATAATATAATTACCAATTTCTTTTATACAATTTCTTATGATTATCATAAATAAATTCATATTAGATAACTGAATACAAATTTTAAACTTCAAACCCACCCATAAGTTTCCCAGTATCATCTAAGTCCCCATTTAAATGAAGGACGCCTGAGGAAGTGTCCAACCTCTGTCAAGTGCCAAGTCTGGGCTTTGTTTCAACGAGATTCTCTACAATTACTCGGCTTGTTGTCATTTAGTATCTGCATAGCATTCAAATTAAATGTTGGCCATCAAATATGTGTTCTGTAAAATATAAGTTTAGTTAGGACTGGCATTGGTTCTACCATATTCTGACGTCATCAAGGAGTTCTACGTAAACAAGATCATTTTGGACAGCTCGGAGTGAAGACTTGAATAATTTAAAGCTGGGTCACGTGTCAATTAGGTACCTGGAGGGATGTATATGTATAATGCATCTTGTTCTAGACAGATATTCGAGTAGGCACTTATCTTTAGGGATTAAAACTACGCTTTTCACATCGCACCTTAACTAGGTAGAACTAATACACTCCTAGTTTGTATTTATTATCTAAACGACGTGTTTATTGACTGATCCGACATTTTCAATATAAATACTGTGTCAAATAATATGTACCGATTTTTATTTTTATTATTTTACTACTCTATATATTCTGTTGAACTATGTTTAAATGCAGTCACCACATACATCAATTGTTTTTAAGTAGAGGTAGGCTGAATCTAGGTTTATTGTTAGGTTTGGTTAAACTTTTGTATTTTTATTTGTTGTACGTTTTAAATCTGTACATTTTGTTTATTCACAGAAATTGAAGAAAAGTATATTTCGTATGATAAGATTTGTTAGGCCCTATTTAATTTTAATGTCTTACAAAAATCACGTTTCTCAAAATGTATTTGTATGAGACTTTCTTAGGGATGATGACTCATCCATATAAAAAGAGAGTCACTCAATGTTTTTTTTTTTATATTTTAAACGGTAAAATAAAATTATCCTTTCAATATCAAAAGGTTTTAGTCTATTTTTTTGCTCTTTTATTGCTTTCGTCTCCCGGAAACAATAATTCGTCTTTCGTTGTGTATTTTTGAACAGATCTCCAGACTTTTCGGGTGGACTAGAAAAACGACAAAACATAGTTAGTATTTTTTTTATATAATTAAAAATTACGGTACACAATTTTATATTAAACAATTAAATATATTATTCTTAACTGACTAAAGTGAACGCAACTAAGGGGTTTATATCATTACTAGCTGTACCCGCGGGCTTTGCCCCGTTTTACTTCATAAGTGAGCTCATTTGCATGGCTCAATCACGTCCTGGTTGAAGTTCGTTCGCTACGCTCACTCACCTTTAGGTTGGAGCTCGTTCGCTGCGTTCACTTGCCTTCAGGTTAGCTCGTTCGCTGGGGTAGCGGATTTTTATCCCCCTGGAATTTTACCCCCTGGGCAAACGTGACGTCACAAACCAGGGGGTAAAGTTCCGGCCGCGAACTTTTGAGTTTCGCGACATCAGCTCGATGGATTAAACGCGGAATTAAACATATATTTTCACGGTTGTGAATTTAATCAGAACACATCAAATTATAAAAACCTAGAATGTACGGCCCGGATCTTTACCCCCGGAATTTTACCCCCGGTTTTTTACCCCCTGGCCAGATATATAAATTAGTGAGAATGATTGATTATCTTCATTCAGATTATTTAATTTATGTAAATTATTTATGTTATTTAAATTATTCATTTATGTTAAATTATTTTTAACATTAACTAATTGAACAGGTTTTTAATTTTAATTTTGAGATTCGAGTATCAGGATTCGATCTTTGAAGCCAACTGTTGGTTAATATTATCAAAACAAAACAGCGAATTCTGTTTACTTAGTTGAGATTACAAAATAAATAAATAAAGATAGACTACTTAATAATGAAATGTTTACAATTAATTAAAAACAGAAATGAGAAAATCAATAATTCAATGTCTAAAATCGGCCAGGGGGTAAAATTCCGGGGGGTAAAAATCCGGGGGTAAAAATCCGGCCCGTACATCTTCAGTTGTCTAAACGCTAGTTATATGGACAGGGGGTAAAATTCCGGTTGTTATCGCTAATCTAATTAATCACGCTCTGACTATATTCATTAGACTTCCAAATCCGCGGGGGTAAAATTCCGGCCGCGAACAAACTTTTGGCCACTCAGGCTACTACGTCATAGTGACGTCAGCTTTGCCCAGGGGGTAAAATTCCAGGGGGATAAAATTCCGGCGACCCCGTTCGCTACGCTAACTCGCCTCAAGGTTGAAGATCGTTCGCTACGCTCACTCACCTTTTGGTTGCAAATTAGCTGTTGTCATAAAGTTAAAAAAAATAATAGTGCTGCACCCTGTTGGTAATCCTTGTAACTTTAATGCTATTGAACATCATAGAACAGAACCAACTAGTTTAATTGAAACAGCTGTTAAGATTCATTAATTCCATTTAAATATGAGTACTCATAAGGTTAACATGGGAAACTCCAGAGCTACTAGGGCGGAGCCCAAGAGTCTGATCAGAATAAAAACAACTTAGCTTTCCCATTTAATGCCTAAAGAATCAGTGTACCAAATTTCAGCCTCCTAGGTAAATGGGAAGTGGGAGAATTAGTGATGAGTGAGTGAGTGAGTGAGTCAGTCAGTGAGGGCTTTGTCTTTTATATATATAGATATATAGATGTGGAGACAATAACACAATGAAGCGTCGTACTGAATATAAGTGAAGCATGAGTGCAGAATAGAGTGCAATATTGTTTGGCTGTACTGGTCGTAATCAGTTGATTAAGTCAGGACAATTTATCAATAGTTCAATGATCAAGAACAGCTGGGTTAACAGAAACCTTGTTGATGTTTTCACATTTAATCCATTCAAGTATTAAAAAATACAAATAGAAATAAATAGTAGTCTTAAATGTGGTATACAGTTGCAACTAAATCAAGTATGTGATTAAGGCTTGACGACGATGCCTGAAACTGAGAGATAATATCAAGTCAGAGATGGTGATATTAATCGTCACATCCACCAATCTCATCCGAGGATCCATTAATCAGGAATGGCAGTCCAATGCATTCCTACTGATTCTCCACGCCAACTTGCAAATGGATTGCAAATGTGGAGGTAATTTGTTCTCTAGGCTGTGAATGGCATTGACAATTATCGGTGATGTTAAAATGAGTTATGAATATATCTAGGACACAATGTTTTCATTCTGTGTTGCTTGGTAGGTAAGAGGAATATCCCATTAAAAATTTAAATCACTTAATTTTATCGAATGAAATATAAGCCCTATTCATTAATATTTCGTTTAATACAGTTATTTTTAAGGTATGAGGTTACATATGTTTTTAACTGTTAGATTTAGGCCTATAAGAATTTACATTGTGTTTACGATTTTGTTCCAAACAGTCCTTTTTAAACCTAAATTTGGTACAGTAAAAATATAAACCACTCTCTTTAGGTGGTAAATGAAATATTGCAAAATTAAATTACCGTTAGAACAAATTAAATCCAATTGAAAATTATAATAATAGGTTGAGAAAATAAGATAATCATATTGTTGATTATCTTATTTTCTCAAAATCATCTTTTTCTTTAAATTTTTAAAACAGCCTCAGTATTTGGCCAATCAATAACGTTAAGTAATGTTTTGGTAAAAGTGCTCGATCGTTGTATTAATTTATATAGTTATAACTTTCATTTTGAGAAGTTTTACCATTTTACTGAAAACTAAATCTATTTGGCTATAGCTTTGGATAATAAAGTATGCGTTACCTTTTATGTTCCAAACACAGGAAAACATCATTCAATACAAACATACTTAAGAAAGCGTTCCTATACGAAAGCGTTGTCGTTGGGTACAGATAATTTGTCTCTCTATGTATTTCTTTTTTCCAGATTTCTAAACATCGAGGAGTTGAGAGCTTCGTTCTCTGTAAGTAAATCTATTTAGTTTTACATTATTGTTAAATTTTGCTAGTTGTTATATTTATGGATGCATACGTTGGGTTTTCTTTAGCGTAAATGTAATATTGATCAACAATACAGCTATTTTTAAGATCAACTAAGAGTATCAAGAATTAAAGAGGATCAAGAAGGTAAATAAATATGAAACCACACCAAAACAATTCTGTGCATTCTGTGAGTCACTGTAATTTTTTTTATTACAAACAATGGAATCACCTATTATGTATCTCAATGAAAAGCTTTTTTATATTGGCTTGGCTAAAAATATTGCATTGAATCAAACACAAAAGAAGAACACTAGTCTAGTAAAATACTACTCGCTTACCTATTCTGGCTAAAATGTATGTTTCAAGTAGTAACCAACAAATCTCGATAAAGAATGTCTTAACATTTCTTTCAAAAGACTAAAATTATGCTTCAATGTAAATTTTTTGGAAGAACATTCAACGTAGTATGAAAAATTCAGACAATTAATTAAATTTACTAACTATAATAACTATCCACAGTATTAGATATATAAAGAAAAATCAACAATCGAAATTAACCATCAAATTTACAAGTGCTTTAGCATAAATATGATTTTAAAGTAAAACCACATGATTAGGCTTACCCTTCATGCAGTAATTTCAAAAATGTAAAACCTAAGCAATAGTGAAAACAATAAAATGATAAAGAACTTAACTAATTAAAGCGCAAGGGCTTAAAATCTAAGTAAATTTAAGAGTACAACATCCGGACGCGGCATTCCCTAGAGTTGAAATCCTCTAGTTGATGTTTAACTTTGCATTTCCGTTGAGTAACGTTTTTTACCTCTGGATGATATTTCAACGACTGCAGCACTATTACTATGACTTATATTACACGTGTTATCCTTAGGTAATTTCTCTTGGTTATCGAAACATTAACTCGGACAACATATCCAAAACGTTTAATTTTCCCATTATTTATATAAGATAATAATGAACCTATGATTAAATCACTTAAGAGTTATTTATTCTACGCTTAAATTTTAACATTTTACCATTTTATGACGAGCAAACAGAGAAACATACAATGTTTCAATACGCTTATCTACATTTTCGAAAGCTTTTGGCTTTGTATATCGTCGCACGAGTAGTTGAAATTTATATTATTCAATACTTAGTCTAATGTTCACGTTTAACAAAATGTATTGTATGGTGATACAATAGATTGTAGAAAATAAGTAATGTCTACAGTAGAATTGGTGACATTGCATGTTTTTGTTTTAAATTACTCATATGTATATTTTTATACTCGCACCCCGTTTCAAATCAAGATAAAGCTAATAGTAGTATTCAATACCATACTTGAAATATTCTACCGTATATCTTATACTCTTCAATATGGGAAACTTTAAGGCAAGCATTTTAATCCAAAACTACTGTGACAACAAATATAGGAAATACTGGCTTTAATTATTGAGAAGTAGGCTAATCTTCTAACATTGTATAACATAATACCTAATTATGTCATTGACGTCAGTGGCAGTATTAGGTCAATCAATAACCTGGGAAGGCCGCTATCAAAATTGTTTCAATTGTTTTGCTATTTTGATCACAACACGTTATTATTATCAATTAGATTTTTATGGCAGGTGAAGTGGTTTATTGAAACAGTGAATAAGTGCACCTTATATGGTAAGATATGAGGATTTCCGCTAGATGTCCAGGGCCATATCCCACCATTAGCCAATTCTTTGTGATAACACATTGGTCTGGTTATTTAGTATTTAAAGTTGATTATTGTTATTATTATTATTATTATTATGATTATTATTATTACTAGCTCCCGTCCTATGTACGGGAATCAAGTAGTCAATTAAAACGGTATTTAATTCAAACAGCTAGTTTACATGCATAGAGAAAAATTGTGGCAGTTTAAATAGGGAAAACCATTTTGTAAACAATCACGTGACCACCTATTTCTTTTATCTGAATATAGGCCTATACGATATGCATTTTAGATCCGATAATTTTACAATAAAACAGCGATTGCGTTGATTTCAAAAGCCTCGAAGTGTAATTGGTCGATTTACAGACACTTGTTTGATGTACCCCACACCTAGGTGCTTAAACATTCCTCTTAGCTCTCTTCTTTCGTATCTCAACCGCTGTTATCTGTATATTTCCTTGGCACTGGCACACTCTATTCTCAAACCTAGCGATAAGGTTTTTCGGTTCCATGGTCAGGGCTTAAGTTTCTGAACCATACAGTACTACTGGGATGATATGGTATAGTATGAATCGAATTTTATTTCTACTGACACCTAGCAGCTTATTAGACAGTTTCAGTTTTCTAGAGACCTACTACAACACCAGTTGACATTTGCATTACCCGCCGAAAATTTGTTATTTTCTATTATTCTTATTAAAAATTTAATGTAGAACACGAAAATTGCATTATCTGCTCAAATCCATATACAGGTAATTGATAAATTGATGTAATAAGTTTAAAAACATAGTTATTTTTGAAAAACTAAATAATTCTTTAGGAAGCTAATGTTTAGATTTGGAACCTCTTAAATTCATTATCTCACTTCATTTACTTTTTACTTACACGAAAAAATGTTTGTCACACTGAGTACCAATCACCCTGTATACATGATTATTATCAATTGAAATGGGGACGCCACATATTATGTTCGTATTATTCGTATTGTTCGTATGTTCGTATTGACCTCATGAGTGAAGGATGAGTGTAGAGTGGAGTAAGATGTTCTGTGTAACCATAGACTAATGTAACTTACTGGCTAGGATCAGCTGTTTCATTAGAAAGGGTATTTTTGTAGTTCAAATAAAAACAATATAATCTCGTAGGTATGAACCACGAATATTCTATGAAAGATTTCCCTTAAAAAAATATCCGTTGTACAGGAAAAATATAATGCAACATTTTACATAACCAATAAGGGTTACGTAGCGAAATAACTTGACCAACTCTTGTTTTAACTACGATTACATCGCTACCTAGATTGAATAACATATCACTGGTTAAGTAATATCATAGAATAAAGAGTAGACTTTATTTTCTCTACCATTAGTCTGTGTTTATATTTGGACATTGCATACAAAATCCTCAGAAAAGTCCCTGGATGTTTGAAAATAATTGAGTGTTGAGTCCTATGCCATCCCTTGCTGATCCTCCTTCAAACAAAAAAACAAGGTTGATTCACTTCTGTTGTTCATAACAATGATCACGGATTGGCGACTATAACTTAAAAGATTATAATTATTTTAATCATACTTTAATGTTGATTAAATATTTTTAATTTGAAGGAACGTTTTTGCCTTTGGGATTTGTATGTAAGATTCTTTAAAAAAATGTGGAATAGCTATAAATATTATTTAGTTTGAAATTAATTAAATAAAACTAGTAAATTACTAAATTCCACCACAAAATTTTAAAGAAAAGAGCCTCGGATAGTGTATAAACGTTAAAATTTAATAACCTATTGAACTTTACATATTTCTTATTGTCCTAAAATTAACCTTAACTGTGCATTCAATGCTGACTAATAATGAGAGCTACTTAATTAAAAACATCTCGTGAGTGTTTTTGTTTCTAAATATCTCCTATTGTTAAAGCGAAGGACACTTATTTTGTCCCATTTTGACACATTGTGTAAATTAATAATAAAAAAAAACAACTAAAATGCTCGGGGTTTTTAGGTAAGAAAATTTAACAATTTTAATTGATTGCTTAATAATAAAATATCGAGTGATATTAATTGCAATAGTGTTTTTTTTTACCAAGTCAATCAAACTAAACTGCAGGGAGACCTCTGTTTTAATCCTACTAATATTATAAATGAGAAAGTTTGGATGTATGGATGTATGGATGTATGGATGTATGTTTGTGACAAGTGAACGCAAAAAATACTGGTCGGATTGGGCTGAAATTTGGCATGATGATAGCTCACATTCCCGATTAACATATAGGCATATTCTTATTTCAAAAATCCTTTCGGGCTCCGCCCCAGTGGCTCTGGAGTTTCCCATGTTAACCTTATGAGAAATGGAATTATTGAATCTTAACAGCTGTTTCAATTAAACAAGTTGGTTCTGTTCTATGATGTTCAATAGCATTAAAGTTACAAGGATTGCCAACAGGGTGCAGCACTATTATTTATTTTACATTTATGACAACAGCTAATTTGCAACCAAAAGGTGAGTGAGCGTAGCGAACGAACGTCAACCTGGAGGCAAGTTAGCGTAGCGAACGAGCTAACCTGAAGGCAAGTAAGCGCAGCGAACGAGCTCCAACCTAAAGGTGAGTGAGCGTAGCGAACAAACTTCAACCAGGACGTGATTGAGCCATGCGAACGAGATAATCTTGAAAATTAAGAGGTTAAACGGGGCAAAGCCCGCGGGTTACAGCTAGTTATAGATAATTTGGACTGGACAATCGATGTATAACAAATCCTAATTACTTACTCGTCTTTGATGTCCCTGGTGAATTTAGATCAATAATAAATATGATGACCTAGTTTGAAGCTTGTTATTTACGAAGGTCCACAAGATAGTTGCAAAAACCTATTAAATTAAATTTGTTAATCAGATTTTAATTTTTTTATACGCTCTGAGGCGGTTTTTGTTGACCAGGTTCGTTGTTCTCTCTATGTCCCCTGTTATGAATTGATAGAATAAGTACCTATGGCATTTTTCTACCAATTATTTTCAGTGTACACGATGCATTACTCATACAAAAGGTCTTCTAAATACTGCTGGCAACTAGAACTTTAGCTGTATCACGTTTAAAAGATCAATGAAAAACATAATCTTTATTCAAGGAAAAGTACCAACGTCAAGGGTAAGTATAGCTTATACCATTTTTGGTTTTTTTTTTTGAAAATAAGGAAAATGCCTCTGGTTATTATGTCACTTCTTATGAAAATTTGTATAGGGTATTACCACTTAAATTTTATGTTTTCGACCAAGATACGAAAAT